TAAATGTATTTGTAGTTTTTATAAATTTGTTTAATTTTTATCAACTGCAAAATAAATTGTTTAATAAAGCATAACTCCATTGGAATTAAAAAAAAAAAAAATTGTCAATTATTATTTATTTAATTTAAATTTTATTGAATGTAGTATACTACATTACTATATCATGATACATTAATTAATTGTTATAATACATTATTAAGATACATTGATTAATTGTAGTATAATACATTGATTCAATTTGAAATAAATTCAACCAAATTAAAACTTAACCATATTTCAAAGGAATAAAGAATTTAATTTGTATAAATGAATAAATTAGTCATGTAAGATAAGAATTTTACTCCAGATTTACAATGGTTTCAGTTTTCCTAGTTATGTTACTGTTGTTATCAACATCATCTGAAACTGGTACTCATATTTCAGAATTATTCTAATTTGAATTAATATGTGAAATATTGTTATCAAAATTTCCAGATTATCAAATTAATAATGCAAATAAATTTTATTCAGATATATTAAAAGTTAAGTTTCATTTACATGATTATCATTATTGTTATTGTAATCAAAGTTATGTTCTTCAATGCTATTTCCATGATCATTATCATAATAATGGTCATTGTCATGGTCATCATATTAATAGTGCTCATCAGAATTATCAATGGTATTTTTTTTTGTAGATTCTTGTTCTTTTGAACAAAATGGACAACATGGTTCAAGAGAGATGCGTTTAAGGCACTGCCAGTGAAAAAGATGACCACAAGTTAATATGGTGATGCGCTCTGTTAATTGCGGAAATAATTCTTTGTTACAAATGCCACAAAGATCTAATTTTTGATTCTTTTCTGGAATTTGTTCAGGTGTTTCATGGTAAATGATTTTATATGCGAATCTTTTTAGCTGGGTCTACACAGAATTTTATAAAAACAGATTTGTTTAATGGATTATATATACACAACTGTTGTATTGCTTATTATTCTTACCCTTCTATATTCCTTGATTACATCATCCCAATATGGCTTCAACCATTTGCACGAACGTTCAATTTCTACCTGTTGAGAGAAGAAATATTAGCAGTGCATCAACTTTTTTATTTAGTGATAAAGAAAGCTGATTCGTCCTTTCTAACAACAAAGTTTAGGACGCCTGAACCGAAGACTTGGAGTGGGTACCAAGCAAACAAGCCCAGTAATTCTCCTAACAAGATACATAAGTGAATCCAACTAGGAATTACCCCTCCCTTTACAAAATAAAAAAATGCACCTTTTCTTTTAGGTTTGTGAAATTTTCTTGGCCTTCTAATCTTTCTGCTTCTTGCAAAAATTTAAGTGCCCAACTATTGTCAAGCTCTTTCCAATCATAAATTGCTGTTAAAGAAGAAATTATGACATCTCGATTGAGATTGAGGAAACCGCGGTACGACTTCTTGTTATGGGTTTGTAAATAGTGGACTAGAGCTAAGAAATTAAATATTGATTAGAAATTGAATAAATTTTTACTTAAGTCAGATTTCAAGTTATAAAACTTACCGTTGTACCCGGCGTATGACTCGTGAGTTCCATGTTCAGACATCGTTTATGAGAATAACTTATGTTTTTATTTTGTCAAAAAAGAAAAGACGTGTCTATCACGATAGCGCGTTCAGGTACTACTTGCCTAACTCGTATGTACTACATGTATGTATAATGTGATGATATGTATAATATATATATCGCAAAGTATAGTATAAAAAACATTAATAAATTATACGTATAATAAAAAGTTTATTTTGAGCATGACTCCGTTGAATATTAAAAAAAAAAAATCAATAATAACAATAATAATAATCAATCAAATCGAATTTTACACGACACGACACGAAATTCATTACATACGTAAGAACAAACGATGTCTCAAACACCGCCACCATCTTATGAAATTAATCTCGTTCCAATAGTTATTATTTCACCAAAAAAACATTTAACAAATTCATCATTTGATTCTAATACTATTTCCTCTCGAGGTTCCAGAGATGCAACCAGAACAACTAAAAAAAAAACATCATTTAATTTGAAGAATAATGAAGAAGAATCTTCACCATTTACTAGTTTAAAGAATAAGAAGAAGAATAATGAAGAAGAATCTTCACCATTTACTAGTTTAAAGAATAAGAAGAAGAATAATGATAACAACAACAAACACAACAGCAATAATAATAAAAATAATAATAATAATAATAATATTAATAATATTAATGATGATGATTATTATAAATTTGTTCATTTTAATCCTCCCGGAAAACAAAAATCATCTAAAAATATGAAACATGTAGTATTCAGAAAGAAAGAAAATAATGATCCATTATTATTTACTTCACAATCTCGTTCTTTACCATCATCATCAACTTTTTCATCATCAATATCATCATCAACATCATCATCAGTATCATCATCATCGCATAAAAACAATAATTACAACAATAACATTAGCAATGATATGTCTGATATATCAGTGAGCCACCGAAGATCTATTAAAAGAACTAATTATAACAACAATTATAATAACAATAATAATAATATTAATAGTAATAATTTTGAAATAATTCAACTTTTTACTAAATCCAATAACAACAACGATAATAATAGGAATAATAGAAATAATAATAATAATAATAATAATAATAACAATAACAGTAATAATAATAATAATAATAATAATAATAATAATAAATTAGTCATGGATAATTATGATAATAATAATAATAATAATAATTCTTTGGGAGGAGGAGGAGGAGAGGAAGGAAGAGAAGGAGAAGGAGAAAACCAACAAAAAAGAAAAAGAAAAAGAAAAAGAGAACGTTGTTATTCCGAGTCAAGTGATGACAGTATTAGTAGTATTAGTGTCAGTAGTAGTTATAATAGTAATAGTAGTTTCATTAGTAGTGGTGAAGAAGAAGAAAGAGAAGGGGAGGAAGAAGAAATAAATGATTATATGAATTATCAAAATTATCAAAATTATTTAAATTATATAAATTGTGGTGAAGGAATGATAAATTTCAAAAATGGTGATAATGTAGAATTGAATTATGTAAAAGTGAGTGATGATAATAATTTAAAAGAGAAAGATCATGATAATGTAGAAAATTATATTAATAATGATATCATGAAAGAAGAAGAGAAAGAGAAAGAGAATATAAATAATAATAAAGACATATATGATAATCAAAATATATATAATAATCAAGGTACATATAATAATGGAAATTTATTCAATGAAAATAATAATGAAGAAAATAACAATAATGAAGAAGATAATAAAGAAGATAATAATGAAGAAGGAATAAGAGTAGAAGAAGGAATAGTAGAAGAAGAAAGAATAGAAAGAATAAGAGAAGAAGAAAGAATGGTAGTAGAAGAAATAGTAGAAGTAAAAGAAGAAGAAAGAAAAAGTAATAATGACGAAAAAAGAAAGGTAGAAAAGGTAGAAATAATAGAAATAGTTGACTCTGATTGTTCTACAGAAATTATAGATCTCACGAATGATGAAAATAATCAAAGATATTGTGATATGGAAGAAGTGAATAATAATGACGATAATGAAAATAATGGAAATGGCAAAATCGATAATGATGGTGATGACAATTACAGAAAAGGTAATAGAAAAGTGAATGTTATTGATATTATATATTTCTATTATATTTTATTCTAATCTCTTTCCATATACAAATAATAAATAGATAATAATATATTATTACAAGAAAATGATATTCAAGAAAGAATTCACGAAATTTTTAAAGGACTTCAAGAAATTCAAGAATCAAGTTATCATAAAAAATTTCAAACAGCAACAACCACAACCTCTTCAGCAATTACATCATCATCATCGGAAATTACATTATCAACTACATCTTCATCATCAGCAACTCAAATTCCAATTCACGATGATGTTATTAATAATGATAACATTAATAATAATATTATTAATAATAATAATAATTTTGATGATGATGATGATATTAATATTATTGATAGTGATGATAATATTATTGCTATTGACAATATTATTGATATTGATGATAATATTATTGTTGATGATATTATTATTGATGATGATATTATTGATGATGATATTATTGTTGATAATATTATTGTTGATAATAATATTATTGATGATAACATTATTGATATCGATGATATTATTGATGATGTTATTATTGATGATGTTATTATCGATGATGATATTTTTGATGATAATAAAATTATTGGGGAAGAAGAAGAGGGTGATAATGATGATAAGATAGTATCGGAATCTATTACTGATTATTCTTCACTTCAAAAACTTCAAATGATAGATTTAGAAATTATCGCATTATATCAAGAACATCAATTTAAAAGAAAAAAATGGGAAGAGGAAGGAATCAAATTGAAAAATGAATTTGATAGAAAAATTAAAGAATTGGAAGATAAAAAAAAGACATTTGAATCTTTGATAAATAATATAAATAATAATAATAATAATAATAATAATAATAATAATAATAATAATAATAATAATAATAATAATAATAACAATATTAATGAATAATAATAATGAATAATAATTTAGTGTGAGCACGTGTATGAGTGTGAGAATGAACAAATGTAAATAAGTAAAGTTGATTAAGAACTGAATGAATATCATTAGATTACCAAGTATATAGAAAGTAAATGAATCAATTAAAAATCATGAATAAATATTTTCATATTATAATTGTATAAAATTTGTAAATCAATTAAATCAATTAAAATCACGAATAAAATATGAATTGTTTTATTTTGATTATTAAATATTTTTTTTTAAAATTAAAATTATTTTATTGTCCTATTTTAACACAGATTACAACAATAATATAAATAATATAAATTATTTTATATTTTACTTCTTACACACATACCCACTCCAAATACTACCAATCCCATTCCTATCCAAGTTACTATTTATTTAAAAATTATTAATTAATTATTTAATAATAAAATAAAATATAAATTAATATTAATATATATTAATATTAAATATTTTTAAATCAATTAAAATCACCTTTATTTCCAATTTCTTCACCTAATAAACTAGCAGCAATGGTTGTAAATATAAATGTTAATGAATTGGTGATGGGTATTGCTAATGATAAATCTATTAAATATTAAAATAATAAGAATTAATTAATTAATTAATTACTTAAATAATGATTAAATAATATAATAATAATAGGTAATAATTAAATAATAATCTAATAATAATAACAATTAATTCATTAATTAAATAATAAATATTTAACCTGCTTGACCAAGTGTATAATAATATACTACAGATCCACTTAGATTCAATAATAATGGTACTATATACTTATACAAATTATTTAAAATAAAATAATAATATACATATATATAATTAATAATCTAAGATTATAATATATAAATTGATAAAAAATGATATGATACAATATGATAAATATATTTTTACCTGCCATCTAGTTAACAAATACCAAAATTCACCCAGGGTTTGTTTTATCCATGAATTATATTTAATATTTTCTAATCCTTTACTTCCTTGTTTTATGAATGGATTTGTAAATCCCCAACATATTGCCACTAATTTAAATAAACAGAATTATTAAAATTGCTGAAATTACTATAATAATTACTGAAAAAAATAAAAATAAAAATCACTTAAACCTACCTAAAATAAAACCTATTATATTATCTTTTTAAAAATAACAAGAATATAATTAATAATTATTTATTATTATTATTATTTAATAAGAGTTAATTTACTTACTAATTAACGAGTTTTCATTTTCCATTATTATTATTTTTTTTTTTTGAGAGAGAGAGAATGATGAGAAATTTAATATTTTCTGGTCACATGATAAATGAACAAATTATGCGAGAATACTGGTTTCTTCTATTTCTTCTTCCACACACACAAATACGTGAAAAAAATACGATATACGTGAAAAAAATGTCAGGTAAAGATAATTTGAAAACGTATGTATATATATATATAATATGTAAATATAATATATATATATCAGAGATTTGGATTAATTTCTTTCTCGCGTGTCGTCAAAAAAAAAAAATATTATCGAAAATTATCTTTATTTTATTTAATTTTCTGAATTAACGCGTTTCTTTTTCTATATTATATTTATATTATGTCTATTATATCTCCTATTCAAATGAACTACACGTAGACTACTTAAATGAACTCGGTGAAGGTGGAGGATTTATGAGACGTAATTCAGAAGAAGGAAAGGTAAATTTAAATATGACAATTAATTAATTAACATAATTAATTATTTAATTTTATTTAATTTATTTTATTTTAATTATTTAATTTATTTTAATTTAATTAAATTAATTAATTTATTTATTTAATTTATTTAATTTAATTAAATTAATTAATTTATTTATTTAATTTATTTTAATTTAATTAATTTAATTAATTTAATTAATTATTTTAGCAATTTGATCGAAAAAAATCAGTTCGAGCAGTAACAATTAAACAATTGCTTGATATAGATTTATCACATTCTGATGAATTAATACTTGATGGTCAACATCTTGATGTTGTAAGTAAAATAATTAATTTCATTAATTTTCAGAATTATTTATAAAAATTTATCTTTATTGAATCATTAATTTTTTTTTTGCACGTTAAATAAATAAATGAATAAAAAAAGATAACATTTGTAGCATCAGTTAAAAATATTACGCCTAAAAATAATTTAGTTGATATAATGGTAGAAGATGGAACTGGATTCATTGAAGTAAAATTATGGCCTAATTCTTCTGATAATTTAAGTAATGAACAAGATAATCTTATGGCAATTCCTGAAAATATCGAGTATTTATTCAATTTATATTTATTATATATTTTATATTATATTTTATATTTTATATTTATATTTTATATTTATATATTTTATATTTATATATTAATATTATATTTCATACATCTTAATCACATCCAATCAGAATTAATAAATATATTCGAGTGTCAGGAAATCTTAAAGTGTTTAATAATATGAAAAATATTGTTGCACTTTCATTTGGAGTTCGACCAATAACCGATTTTAATGAGTTATCTTATCATATTATTGAAGTTATTCACACTCATTTATCATTATTGAATAAAAATAATCAATTGGTAAATTATTAATTATATATTTATTATATTCATTATTATATATATTATTATTATATTCATTATATTATCATATTCATTATATTGTCATATTCATTATTATTGTTATTTCCAGAACAACAATAAACAACAACAATTAGCATCTGGATCAATATATGAATCACGTTTATCTAACGTGAGTAACTCTGGTCAGGGAGGAACTTTCACAAGTAAACTTCATAAGGAGATATATGATCTCGTTTCTCAAAATCGCGAAACTGAGATTGGATTAAATATTAATGTTATCTGTTCAGCTTTAGCATTTCAATATGGGTCTGATGATCATGTCAAGTATGAAAATATTTATAATTAATTAATTTATTATCATCATCATTATTATTATCATCATCATCGTCATTATTATTATTATTATTATTATCATTATCATCATCATCATTATTATTATTATTATTATTATTATTATTATTATTATTATCATTATTATTATTATTATTTCTTTTAACTTTATTACTTATTACTTTATTACTCACCACCCCATTACTATTGATATTCATAAAATCATGAATAGAACCGCGATCGATGAATTGATTAATGAAGGACAACTGTATAATACTGCTGATGATAATCACGTCCAAATCACTGGTGCTTGATAATTATATTAATAATTAATGATAATAATAAATATATATAATAATAATATAATAATATCATATAGTAGCATGTGAAATGGAAAATATATATATATATATATATATATATATATAATAATAAAATCTAATTCAAGATATTTGCAATAATATTTGATAGACATAACAATAAGATTTGGACGCGTGCTTTGATATTTTTTTCGTTGATTTTCTACCTCACTACACTATTAATTTTCTAATTCTTTAATATATTGAATTTATTGAATTATTTATTGTAACGTTAGATATTCATGAGATTTTCACCAAACACATGACTTTGATCTAAATACTGAATATAATGATAAACATCAATCTTTTTACATTTCATCCTTTCTTTTCAAATTTTTCAAATAAAAGAAAACATGTCTTCTGCATCAAATTCTCCATTAAAGGTTTCAACTGAACAACAACAACAAAAACAACAACCCGAACCCACGGACACTAATAATAAAAGGAATAATGATGGAAATAATAGAAACAGCAATGAAATGTATATTTATTATTAAAATTATATATTGGATCATATTTTATTATTATATTGAATTATATTTTATTACATTTTATTATATTTAACGCGTTTTTTTTTTTCCTTTCTTTACGTGACTCTTTACTCTTACCTTATTATTATTTTACTTACGCGTTCTTGTATTTATTCTTATTTTACTTACGCGTTCTTGTATTTTACTTTGGTATAAAGGAACTCAATGATTAACACGTTGCAGAATAGTCTTGAAGGTGTCCAAAATTCGTTTTGTAATGCCTATTCCGTATGTAACAAATATAACATATAATATTCAATTACGATTTACGAATGCATTATATAATAAATTATAATAAATCATATAAAAAATATTTATATATTTAATTATTATTATTCAGACTTTGGTCACGAATTTAAAACAATCATTTGACATGATGAAAGCTATGAATTCTGTGTTGGAACAATTCTTATTAGCCAATATACATATTTGTGAGTAAATCCATACATAATGATCAAATTAGTCTATATTAAATCTATAATAATAATAATAATTATTATTATTATATATTATTCACGTTATTTATATAATTTTAGCGACAAAAATTCAGCAAGTAAATAAATCAGCAAAATTTATTCCTAGTTTATTGACCATCACTTTAGAAAATAAAGGTCAATTTCCCATACCAAATATAACTTGTATTTTGATATTTGAAAAGAAATATTTAGAAAAGGTATTTATTTATTAATAATTGAATTTAATATTTGATAGTTTTTTAATTTTATTTATAATAATAATAATTGGATAAATTTTATTTATTGATTATAATTATAGCAAGTGATTTTTGAAATAGAATGCATTGAATCGGTTTCACAAGAAATTATGAAACCTAGTTCAGTGTAAGTTTTTTTTTTCTTTTTAAACTCTAAATTTTTAATTTAACTTTTAAATTTTAATTTAACTTTAACTTTATATTTTAAATTTTAATTTAACTTTAAATAATATTTAATAGATTAAAACGATCACATTCAATATTTGCAAACCTTATCAATTCTCATGAAGAATCTTTTACTTTAAATTCTCAAACACAAATTATTGAAAAGATTTTATTAGCCCCATCTGAACTTCACCAAGTATGAAGAATATTTTATATTTATGACGTTTTATGTGATTTATTTGATTTGTCAATTTTTATTTTTTTTATTATTTGTGTTATTATTTAGTATAATGTCAAGGTCTTGGTGAATTTTCCAAGTCCTGGTACCGGAAAAACTTTACAAACTGAACATATATTTGGTTTATATTTAATCGATCAGGTATTTATATATATATATATATTCCATTTTTATTCACATCGTTTCTTTATGGTGAAATAAATTAAAATAAATTAATAATCCTTTTTTTTAGTGTGAGAAACGAATACATGTAGGCCCAAAATTATTTGATGAACCTTTAAGCTATATCACAGTAGATTTATCCCCATTCATATTACGTAAATTGTGGAATATTCATCCTAGTATTGGGTTACATGATGGTTTAATTTTCGAGCTTATTTGGACTGTAAGTAATTTATTTTAATTTAATTTATTTTTATTTTTTATTTTATTTTTATTTTTTATTTTATTTTTATTTTTTATTTTATTTTTATTATTTTATTTTATTTTCATTTTTTATTTTTTATTTTTATTTTTTATTTTTTATTTTTTTATTTTTATTCGATTTCTAATTTTATTCGAGGAAAATTATCTGAAATTATTTTTTTTTAATTAACCAATATATATATATTAACAATTATTAACATTATTTCAAAAGGATAAATTCTGGATGTTCATTTGTATCAAAGAATGGATTGGAGAAAATTGTTCAATGGTATCATGTAAAGTTTCCAGTATCACATTAATGGGATCAGAAATCGTGTTGAAAATTTTAGAAGAATTAAAAGTTCTGGGAAATTTAAATAATAATAATAATAATAATAATAATCCTCGGACTCTTTGCGGGCCTAATAATAATAATATATAATATATAACAAATAATATAATATTCATCCAATATACATCTAATAATTATACTCACCTGATTAGAATAATTAATTTTGTTTCAAATTAAAAAAAAATAATAATATTGAATAATGTGTGTTCGATCTGCATATTTTGTAAAACTTTATCAAATGATTGTGCTCGATGTCACATTATATTATTTAAAGTAACACAGACTTTAATCGCAACCATAGGGTAAAATATTTCGCAACCATAGGTAAAATATTTTTTTCAACATAAGTTGAATGAAGAAAAATAGACAAGTTTTATTAAATGCAGTTCTTTTCTTTGTTTTCTTTTTCCTTTTTTTTTTTTGAAGAAATTATTTACCAACATGAAATTATTATCATATCAAAAACAATCTTCTGATTCTTATCACCTCTTCAATATGTAGTACCTTCGGCTGTAACTCAAACTCAATCAGGTTTATCAAATGTAGAAATGGTACATTCACTTTACTTACCTTCAAAGCTTTAGTGATTGGACTTGGAACAGGAATAGGTGTAGTGGTATGCCATTTTCAAGACTATTGAAAGGAATGCCTAATTAAAAGCTTTGGCAATTGGGCTTGGAACAGGAATAAGTGTAGTAGTATATACTTTTACCTCCCATCAACATACCTACACCATATCATATTTAAGAAGGAATGTCCAATAAAAAGCTTTAGCGATTGGACTTGGAATAGGAATACATGTAGTTATATAGAATTTTACCTTCCTACCTATTCACACCAACACATCTACACCATATTATTTATAATCAAAAAAGATTGCTTAATCAAAAGCTTTAGCAATTGGACTTGGAATAGGAATAAGTGTTGTGGTATAAAATTTTATCTTCCTACCTTCTTACCATATTATTTTATAATTGAAAAAAGAATGTCCAAGAAAGAAAAAAACAAAAAGAAATAAATAATAACAAATCTGTTCCATTTATCAAATAATTCAAATCCTTTTATCAATTTATTATTGTTGATATGCCCAATTCAAAAGCTTTAATGATTGGGCTTGGAACAGGAATAGGTGTAGTGGTGTAGAACATTAATTTAGTTTATTATTATTTTATTATTTATTAATGTATTTATTATTTTATATAGTTTATTTATAATTTATGTAAATCATAGATCTTGTAACAAGTGGCTCACCAGGTTGACTACCAGGTGAATTGCCTAGGTAAATTACCTGTTACACATAACAGGTGGATCACCAGGTTGATTACCTCTTGCTAAAATTGGTAAATCAATAATTTGGTAGATCATAGCATGCAGTAAATTAAAGGAATATAAATATGAGTCTAGTTTCCTTTAGTTAATACATTATTTAATCCTTTAATATTTACCTCTAAATTTATAATTTCTATTTTTATATTATATTTTATTTTTATATTTATTATTATATTTATTAATAAAGTCATATCATATTAAATATCTCCATTAAATCTTTAATTTGTTAATTTGTCACATAATTCTTTATAAAATCTGAGTTAATTTTGTATAAATACTCTTTAGCACATATATCTTATTAAGCAGACAAGTTGGTTTAATGTGCTAAAACCCTGCACAATAAAGAATAATTAAATTGAGTTGATCTTAATAATCTTTGAAAAATTCTGAGAATTATTTAAATAGTTTAAATTAGTTTTGTTAAAGAATATTAGTTATTTTTCAGACCCTTGTCCACATATTGATGTGACAGTAATACAGAATTACAAGAAAAGATATACATCAACATCTTTAATCAAAATGGATAAAACTTAAATATGCCATAAATTTGTAAAAATAAAATTCTTCAAAATACTTCAAGTATAACTACTACATATATTTCATAAATGGATAAAATTAAATTTTGTTTTCAGAATATATTGAACCATATATGAAGAAAAAAAATTAAAGTTACTTTTATAGATATTTCAATTCTATTCTAAAAATATAAATTAATTTATCAATTGATTACATGATGAAAAAAGAAAAAAGAAAGAAAAAGAAAGAAAATAATAAAATAGACTCAATACCAGTCTTGCTTAGTTTCTTGGTTACTGTGGAGGTGGTGACAGTTTAAAACATTTGTATCTTCATCTTGGTGAGTAGTCTTTCACTAGAAAAAGTGATTACCATCTAAGCAAAATAGTAATTTTCACATTCTGCAGTATATCGGAAGTCACGTGACATGTGACTGGCATGACTAAAAGAATTTATAAATATAGGCAGAGAAAGAGAATAAAGAATCAAGATTTTTAGGATAAATTTGGGACGGAGAGGATGGTGAAAAAGATGAAAATGAAGTGTGTAATATAAAGTAAGTGGATAAATAAAGATAAGTAGTAATAAATATTGATAAGTAATATCAAGAAAATAGAAAAAGGAGTAGAAGGGGGAGTGGCAACAATTAAAAGGGAAACTATATAAATGGAGATTAATGGTAATGGGATGTGATAGATAAGAATGATAATAAAAATGCAATGACAAAGAAGAGGATAAAAAAAAATATAGTAACACTGGTTAAATTTTCTTATTTTTTTTTTTTGAAATGGTCATTAAGAATTGTTGTAGAATATTTTATACTATATTTTTAATTGCAATAATTACATTTTGTATTTGTATGAATACTGTCATCATCAAATATTTTTTTGAAATATTGTTAAACAGTACTTGATAGATGAACTGGAAGTAGTTTTTTCTCTTTTTTTTCTGAATTAATATCTTCCTCATCATATTTATGAGTATTTTCTTCAATAACTGAATTGTCATCAATAATGATGACTAAATATTCTATTTCATTCTCTATCTCCAACAAATTATCATCTATATTACTCATTATATATATAAAATAATATAAAAATAATTTGAGAAATAATTAATTTAATACAAAAAATTAATTTTTTTTAAGCTCCTGATATATAAAATAAATAATTAATAATTATCTATCAAGAAAAAAATAATTAATTTTCTCTAATAAAAAGAAATAGAATAAAAGATAAGTATTTTTCTTTTGTTTTATTTTTTTTTTAATATTATATATACTATATTTATAAATATTTACCTTTCATAATAGATTATCTCTTGATAGTTGTGCAAATTAAAATTCTTATGATTTGAATTTTTGTATAAAAGTATATATCTAGTATAAAATGAGGAAATATAATTTCAGTACTAATCGAATTGATGAGTAAATTTTTAACATTTTGTATTTTCATTCGTTCTTTTATTTATCTATTTACTCAATTCATTTGTCTATTTGTTTCTCATTCAATTCTATTCTAAATTTTTATAATTTTTTTCTTATATTATTTTTTTTATGATTAACAATGCTATTTCATTTTACAAATAAAAATATTTGAACAAGACTCAGAGCCACAAGTTGTCTACTCAGATTATTGAATATGTATTAGAATACACTGGTCGAAAATTGATAAAACATATACATATCGGGTACCCGATATGTGTATGGTGTTTTCCTAATATCAGATATATATTGGATACCCGATATGTGTAGAAAATATTTTATATATATATCGGATACCCGATAAGTGTAAAAAAATATTTTCTACACTTATCGGATACCCGATATATGCCCAATATTAGGAACACACCATGTACATATCGGGTACCCGATATGTGTATGTTTTATCAATTTTCGACCAGTGATAATAGTAAATATAATGGTATATAATTGTTTCGTTCAATACTGTAAATTAAAAAAAATAATTTTTTACAAATAAAATTATCTTTATTTAAATTATTACCTATTTATTATTTATCTCGATCTTATAAATATAGATAGTTTTTTATTTAGGAGTTTTGATAGTATTAAAAATAAATCTGTCATAAGTAAATAATAAAAATTAAATTAATAATATTAATTTAATTATTTATTAGAATTAATAAACAGGTAAATAAATAGATGAATCATAAATAAACAGGATTTTTAGTAGATAAATAAATGAATTAAATAGATAAGTGAATAGATGAATGAATGGATAAGTTAAATAGATAAACAAATAGATAAACAGGATTTTTAATAGATGGATAGATGAATAAGCAAATAGAAGATAATAGATAAACAGGATTTTTAGTAGATAAGCAGATAGATAGATTAAATAAGTAAGTGAATAGATAAATAGATGAATGGGTTAATAATCGAATAGATGGATGATAAATAAACAGGATTTTTATTAATGAATATTTTTATATTTTATATTTTTACATTTTATATCTTTTTTGTTTTATTATTTTTTTATTTAATAAAAAGATTAAAAAATAAATAAATAAATAAATGATTAATATAAAAAAAAATAAATAAATAAAGTAAAACATAAATAATTACATGAGATACATAATATACATGATAAAATATAAATGATGACATGTGATATAATTTGATCCCATTAGTTCTATTGACTTCAATCGACTTGACAGCTTTCAAATCAAGTTAAACCGTGATTTGATCAACTTGAAATTAAACCAAACTGATGACTTGAAACCTTCAAATTAAACTGGTTTAGCTCCATCAGTTTGGTTCAGTCTGGTTCAATTTAACTTGTACTTGATAATACTAATCCATATTAAATAAATTATTACTATATATATTTATAAAAAATACATTAACTAAATAAAATTTCTCTAATTTTGGATATAAACACATATCATTTTTAAAAATTACATAAATAATTTTTACATATTATAAAGAAAGCAAATATTTGATCATATAAATATTTTAGAAATATTTTTTTTTTGAAATAAATTTATTAAAGAACTTTGACTAATATATCTTTTACTTATTTTTTGAATAAAATAACTAATTTGAAAAACAAAACTCAAAAATCAACTATTCAAATGAAATCTCTTTTATTTGATTTGATAAATTCTAAAAAAAAATACAAATATATTTGTAATTATACAAACTGTAAAGGAAAAGAAGTTAATAAATAAATCCAGAAAAAGTATGTTAATGAGAAAATTACGTAGAAATCTAATAGAGAAAAAAAAAATTCAATTAGCTATAATTTAAGTAAGAAAGTTTAATTATGAACATAAGTTAATTGTTAAAATAACTTCATGTATATCATGATCATAAATAATCATATTGAATATGTAAATGATCATATCAGAAACCTGATATATCAATTTTTAACTTGTGTAATGTTTATAATATTTTAATTAAGTGAATGAAACTCAAGTAAATGAAAATATATTAAATAGGAGTAGCAAGAAAAGAAAAATAAATTTTTAACAGTTATCTCTAGTTAAGAATATAACTAATATTATTACTATTTTTTTTTTTGTCTTTTTCTTTATCATCATCATATTTTTACTTTTGTTTCTTCGTTACCTTTAATTTCCGTCTATATAATTTCCCTTTTATTTATTGCTATCCTCATTTTTCTCCTTTTTCTTTTTTTCTAAGATTACTTAGTAATATTTATTACCACTTGTCTTCGCTTATCCACTTACCTTATACTATTCACTTTATTTTCATTCTCTCCACTATTTTTCTTGTCCCAAACTCATTCTAAAAATCTTGATTCTTTCTTCTCTTTCCTTGTCTATA